TCTGCTAGAGATCACTTCCCCCTTCCCTCGCACCCCAGCTAGGCAGAATTTTTCACGATTGTAGGAGTACTGCGGACAGAGGGTGTAACTAGATAGGGAAGCTGTCTCAGGCTGGATCAGATTGAAAATGGGTCATTTCTCTGGGTGCGTTCTGTCTCCCATAGCGTTTTAGATGTTTCCATTCACACACCAAAGTATGCTTATCTTGAGAGAGTAAATCACACCACACCTGAGATAGCTGCAGTTTTCATGGGGATCACTCCTTGCGTGGTACCCTCTTCCAAGCTCTTTCTTTTATCCCCTGTGGTCAACTCTCAGCTGCCCAAGTGCATATGGAATGGAATCCCAGAATTTTCCTATGGGAAGACTGTGGATCGGGTTTGGGGTCCAGAGTAGCTTGGTTTGTTGAATCTCCCTCCTGCCTGCAGGAACTGCTTTGAGTGTTAATACAGAGATGGGGGTGGAGGTCCAAAAAAGGGCACTGGGTTCAAAATGCACATGGTGGGGAGAGTAGTTGCACTGTTTTGATTTGGGTGGGTACCACATTGGGGTGAGAAGGAAAACAATAAGAACATAGTGATGGGAATTGGAACAAGACTTTCCTTTAGACAGGTGAGGGAGGAAGGGGCCGTGGCAATGTGTGTGTAGTGGAGGGGAGAGTTTCATCAATTCATTCTCTCTTTTCTCACTATTTCCCCTCCCCATTTGGAAATTGATGGGAGAAACTATACTAAAGGAGCTGACCACTCTTTTATCTCACTCTGAGGATATTATGTTGATGGTGGAGGGAGGTGGGGAGACAGAGTGTAGGAGATGTGAAGGAGGAAGAAGAAGCAGGAACAGCACACAGTCTTGCATGTGCATGTGTTTCTCTCTCCTCCCTTCCCTTCTCTTCCTGATCTATTTCTGTGAGAAAGGGAACTTGAGAAAGAAAGAAAGAATGCTCTGAAGCTGCTGCCAAGCACAGGTACCATAGTGGTGGTATGGATTTGGATCAGTGCTTGCTTTGCTCCTAAGGACTCCTTTTAATCGAGAGGTGGTGTGCCTTTCTCTCTCCCTTTACTTCTGCCTCTTCATCGCCCTTCATTTCATCCTCTGCTGCCAACTATTCTCCTCTCCCCTCCAAATGACATTGTGCTGAATTGAGATAATATTATTGAGATAATATTTCACTTGGGAGTGAAATAGGAGATTACACAGGAAACAATGTGATCGCAACCTCTCCAAAAAGCCTCTGTACCCAAAAAGGTCCAGATGGCCATGGAAGAGGGCTGAGCTGGTTTGTGATTGTAGTCACTGAAAAACAGATTGAACTTGACCATGCCAGCAGCAATCCAAAATGGGGGATAAATTGCTGTGTAAGTGCTCCCACTTTCTATGTTAGGCCCATAAACAAAATTTTCCAGTAGCTTCTTGGGGCAGCTTGGGAAGCTATGAGGATGATCTGGGAGAACTAAAATAGAAAGTCCTGTTTCCTTCCTCTATTCCATAATTGAGTGAGTATGTAGTCACTCAGTGGCTCGGTTCTCCACCTGGAGCTGCTCTGTTGCTTAGCTTCATGGAGTTCTAATTCTCAAAATGCTTTGCTAAAAGAAATGTGTTACTGTTATATCCCACTTTCCTCAGTAAGGTACATAGTCAACTAACCAAAGCTTTAGCAAAATACAAGAATATAAAAACACAGTTCAGAGGTACAGTGACACTTTATTCCACTTTATGGGTGTACATAGTACTGAATTCGCAAAAGACAAAACAAAACAGAAAAACCAGAGCCACTTTTTCCCCAGTGTTAACAGACAATGGAATGCATTCATATCTTGGCACAAAAGTGGGCAACAATATACTTGAAATATAACAACGGTTTTCTCAAAGGTAACAAATCATAATACTGAGATGATTTAGTAGTTTTAGTTGTGTCCTGCTGATCAACACAAAACACATGACTCACATGCAACTTCATACAAATTACATCATCAGACATCCACTACCAGGCTTTTTTTAGGAGTTCAAATGAGGTCCCTAATATTTTGTTCAAAGCTCTAGCAATTAAAAAAAACCCTCACTTTTAAAAATCACACTGTCTTTATGGATATGTATCAGTTCCTGAGAACCATTTGATTGCCATCTGATTATTTCAGCCTAGTTTTGTGTTTAAATAGTACTTAAATATCTAAATTGTCCCAGAGTTTGCTGTCAATAAGAGAAGAAACAGGGGCCAATTATGACAGTTCCCTACCAAGCTGAACAGGGTGTTCCACATGAGCTATGATCCTATCTCACAGGGATTGCTGAGTTACACATGTCCTTAAAAATCCACACTATCCTTCTGAAACATGGCATTTGCAAAATGTTTAACTGAGTGTGTACTTTGTGGTGTGGGTTGGAGTGGAAAAATGCCAAGTGTAGCAATATAAGGTACAACATGTATTTTTTAAAAAAAACCTTCTTATTGGCACCAGGAAGGGAGCCTTAGCTGACACTAAACACTTTTTGTCCAACAAAGAAACACACACATTGCATCATTTTATTCAGACCCAGAAAGAAGCAAAACAACCCAAACAGCTAGGGCTGGAATAGGACAGCCTGTTTAGGCCTCCAGCTTTGTAACCACCAAGTTCAGGACAAAAAGTATTAAGTTCTAGTAACATCATGAATAAAGAAAGAAGGGAACCTAGGGACAATATAGGTTATAGAATACATCACTGTGAAGCTTGCCATCTTTAATTCACAGCGGTTCAGAACATTTAACATGGAGCAAGGTAGTGTGAGAGAAGCCATATCAGATTCCAAGAGACTGACAGCCTGTTTATGCTAACCATGGACTCACATGATGGTTGCTTTCATGGAGTATGGCTACATCAGGCAAAAGCTCCGAGAGCGACAGATATATTTAAAATGCTCTCCCGTAACTATCTGCATATGCCACGTCAGGAGAAAAAGCCAGACTAAACTACTCTTAAGTAGTTATTGCACTTAATGCACTATTCAAATATGCAGCTGAAGATATGCCATTATTTAGATATATACTGTAATATCACAGATCTCTAGCTAAAATATTAAAGAAAAGACTTCCACCTTTGAGAGCCGCTCTGCATCTGATGTATAAATCCATTTCGAACCTCCAGTAGAGCTTGTCTATGCCAATTTGGCATAGAACCTATGAGCATAGAACCTATCCATTGCATATATGCTCTTCTTGCATGATAGGGGGTGGTATCAAGCTACAGCTAATAATGCAAGGGAAATGTATTTGCTGAAGAAATATAAAGAATATACATAAAGGATGTTCCAAGGATTACTTTCTTCTCCACATACATGCACCCTTAAAATTCAGAAAAGTCCCATTGTAGAAAGAAGGTTCTTGATTCAGGAGAAGATGTCAACCATCATGACAAAAATCACAGAAGTTGGCTAATAGACATTATGATCATTTTATTTGGAAACTGGCCTGGAAACTGACTTTGAGGAATGACTCAGAAACTCATTAACAAATAGAAATAAAGCAAACTAACCAAGTGACCTGATTGAGGGTAGAACTCTAAACATACTTTCCTGGGATTTGGACCCACCAGAATTTACTTCTGAATAGACATGCATAGACTTTGCACAATAAAAAATCCCTTAAAGAGAAATCAAAAGTTCAGCAGAGGCAACTTATCACAAAATTAATTTAGGCCACTATTCATCCCTGAAAACACACTTCTCTTGAATATAAAACATGTCAAAATGTCTAATTTTGACACAATGAGCCACAGGAGAGTAGCATAAAAATAATGCAACAGTAGGCAATGGACACTAGTCTAGAAGATGTTCATTAGTCACATACCTGCATGGTACCTTGGAAATGAACCGAAAGCACAGTTTTACAGCTGAACAGCAGAAACAACTGGAAGCATCAGACACAGAGACAATTTGACAGAAAATTTCAGACTTCAGCACTACAAGCAAGAGAACAACGGCAGCTGGTCTAGCATTCTTTCCTTGTGAGAAGGCTTAAAGAAGCAACAGCAGAGTTCATGTATTCTGAGTGGCGGGGTTTGTATTTGGAAAGTGATGATGACATACTGATGAATAGCTGAATATTAAGTTTATACAACTGTAATTACTGTTATTTTGCAAGAGCAACCCACCATTGTTATTTGCTCTAATAAACATTTTCACATGGTGAAATAAAGCCCTCACTTTCTTAAGAAATCCCACTTCCTTAAGAAGGATTGCCAATGCATCTTCCATGAATTGCTTCTTTATTTCACTGTCTAGGTTTCATGTAAACTTGCTCTCAGGTCTCCAAGTTTCACGGAATATAATCAACACTTGACAGGAGAGTAAGATGTCTCTCATCTTTGGGGAATAATTTCTCCTTAAAGAAGAGAGGGGATAGAGGATGCATCGATCAGAGGGCTCCTGTTAAAAGGCAACTGGGTGATAGAGATGACATTTCCCAGCATACATTTTTTGGATTCCCTACATGACTACACAGAGTACATTCAGCCGTATTTTCATTTCCTACTTACTGGGCAAGTTAGATTGCCCAATATTGCACCTCAGCTGCTTGCCAGAAGTAACATAAAATGGTGGACTTACCCAGGAATCTGATCAAATACTCAGACCATATGTCAGCCCTTGAAGAATACCTACCACTACTTGGGCAATTTCCCCATTCTTTGAAATGATGTAACATCTTTCATGAGAGTAGTCTATATTCTTTCCGTGCGTGTGGTGAAATATATATGACTAAGGCCTTAAGTGTGTTAAGAATTCGCCAGAACAAATATTTCTTTCAAATGAATTCTACAGTAATTATTCATGCATTAAAAGTTTCCAAAAATCACCACTGATCCAGGCACAACAACCTGAATGCTCAGATAGAATAGTCATGGTAGCCTGTTGGAAGACATTTTGCTCCCTTATTCGGAGGAATATACTACATATATTACATAAATATATTAACTAGATGCCTTTATTATTATCAACTATTTCCAGGAAATTCAGCACAGATCTCGGAAGAGAAGAACTCTATTTATCAAATTACATTTCAATACAAACAAACAAGCAAGCAATTCATAAAGGCAAAGTATAACAGGTGAAGGTGAGGTCTGAAGAATAAATTTTTAACATCATTTGTTAAGGCCAGCCACATGGCAATCAGCACAGTAAGTTGGAGATTTACACAGACATGTGAATTTCTAGAATATGACTGATGTAAAAGGCTTATTTATGTGCTGCCTGAATTTCTGCTCAATATAAAAGGGTAAAGGGTTTCTAGGACACACTTGCAAGTGCTTTAAGCCTTGCAGCAATTCAGGAATGCCAGAATAAAATCCCCTTTGAATGCTCTACTGTGGTAATGTTTTCCCCTTCAGTTTCCAATGAATGAAGAAATCAATCTCTCCTTGATTCCCTCCCACTGCACCTTCCAGTGGCTCTCTGGAAGAGGGTGAGAACCATGAAAAGCAAAGAAGGAAAGCGGGGGAGAAGAAAATGGGGTGAAAGATGAAGCCAAATAGAGAAAAGAATAAGGAAACTCAAAAAGCAGACCTTATTAAAACTGGGGCTGGCTCCTGAATTGTTGTGAATTACTCAGGGCTAAGGGCAGCTATTTGTGTTCATTCTGTTACCATTTTCACATATGAAGCTGTTAGGATGGCCTTTAAACTTCTATCATGCCATTTTAATGGCTTCAGAAGTGTTACTAATATAGGGGGGAAAGGCGGACTACAGGCATTTTAAATGAGAACAATGTTATTTCCCATTGAAGTACAATGAGAACTCTTCTGCCCTATGTTGATTTCATGTTCCTGTAAAATAGTGGAATCAAGGGCTGATCTACGCCTCATGTGTGAAAAAATGTTGATTTCAACCCCAACAGATGCATTTTAAAAGTAGACAAAAGACTAATCTAACCCAGATAATGCAAACATTGTTATGAGCAATTCCCAAGTTAAGGGGAACAGTCAGAAAAATGTAACTGTCTTCTCTGAGCCAATGAAAACATTTTAATACTTATGTATCTGCTGCTAAAGGCATGAGTTTTACTCTGAGCCCCTTCTGTCATATCCCAAGTCTGGCACATGTAACAACCCATCCTCTTTTGTAAACCAAAAACTGTTGTGGAAAGTTTGAAGTTTGAATGGAGGAACAGCAGGGAAGGATTTGCTAAGGTTTTTCCCATGCAAAATCCTCCTGAAGCTGCTTTTCTACTCATGTTAGAAAAAATTATATAGTAAATCATCTCATCAGTGAACAAAATGCTGCTTCAGTCAGAGAGACAGTGTTAAAAAGCCCCTTCCTTCTGCCATTCCTCTTCTTTAATAAATACCTTAAATTCTGACTCATGGCCACACTTTCCAGGGGTTTCTAGAGAGAAAGTACTCAAAAGTGGATTATCATTTCCTTTTTCTAGGGGCATCCTGGGACTGTGCAGCTCACCCAAAGCCACATAGGTTGGCCTTTCTAGGATGCCCAGTGGAGCACTGAACTCCTAGCCTCTGGCTCCCCAGTCAGATGCCTAACTTACTGAGTGAAAATTCAAATGACTAGGGTTTTAAAAAATAAATATAAAATATTTTGTTGATTCTTTTAGTTCATACATACCAATGGCAGATCAATGGAAAACGGAGTGAGAAGCTCTATCACAGGACAAGATTCCTGCAACAGAGTCAACAGCAGAAATAACAAGAGTTATCCAAATAGTCCCTAACTATCTACCATCGGCTCTTGACACCTAGGGTGTTAGGATACATCACCATGTGGTGGCCACAAAACATGTTAGCAGAACTGCTTTTAGAAGAGGCTCACTAAAAAGTTATAGGGTTTCTGCTAATGAACCATACGCCCGTGCAAAGGCGTATGGTTGTTTCATTGTTTGGAAACCCTGTTTCATTGGCAGAATTCTCATGTGCTCTACAAGAGGGTTCAGTTCAGTTTCTGGCCAATGCAACATAACTTTGTCAGATTGATGTAGTGGTTAAATGGTTGAATTAGGACTCTAACTCCCATTCAGCAATGAAATTAACTTTGTCCAGTCATACTCTCTGAGTCTGACTCACCTCACAGGTTTGTTGTGAGGATGGATCGGAAGAGGAAGAAGAGAGCAACGGGTGCTGCCTTGGGTTCCTTGAAACAACACTGGGATATAAATGTAAACATAAATAATAAATAAAGCATCTCTTGGAAGTCAAATATACAAAAATGGATATAAATCTGTTCACTATAAAGCAGGTATGGGCAATTGCGGCCCTCCAGATACTGTTGTAGTTGTTGCCCTACATATCCCATGATTCTGGCTGGCTGATTGGAATTGTAGTTCAGCCCATGTGGAGGGACAGAGTTGTAAAATGAGGTTTAGACACGGGGTCTTAAAAATTTCAGTTAGTCAGAAATAACGTTAGAACTACTGTTGGTTCCATACTGGTTCCACACCAATGGTATAACCACAAATCATTGTAATGGTCCTCTGTAAGCTCAGACAAACATGCTGCAAAGTCCTTTAACATCATAAGAAAAAAGCATATACACACATCTTAATTACCATCTGAAGGGGCACCATTGTAAACAAAGGTTAGTAGCACAGTGGTTCAGTAGATTGTCAAGAAAACCGATAAAAGTGGATACAGATTCATTCGCCTTGCACGTAGGTTATTGCCATTTACAAGGGACAGAGTCTGTAAACTCATAACTGTGAAGTTTTGTTAATGAGAACAGAACAACAAGTGAGTGCCCCATCCACTTTTTCCAGCTCTGTATTAGCTATAGGGATCAACATGTGGTCCTTCAGCTTTTCAAACACCTATTTAAAAGAAAAGAAAATAGAGAAGTGTTACGTTTATTAATGTTTTCACTCTCGCAGTGCCAGTTTCTAACATCCATTAAGAGACTGTACTAATAGCACAACAGTTAAACCTAAAGTGTACACTTTGAGTAAAAAGCATACTTATACACCTCTTCCATGTTAATAGGGTTGAATATTATATGTTTACCAGGCATGCAACACCTCCTGGGGGCAGAAGACAGACAAATGTGTTACTGCTCTGCCTTTCAGTCCATGAGCTATGACGAACAATCCTACCATCTGTGATAAATAATGCTATGATTTTAAGGAAAGTCTTCATCTGACAAAATGAAAAATGAACACTAGACCTGTAGCAGGGAGGTGGCTATATATTTATACCAGTCTTACTCAGGGCTAGCCTTGTCATGCAGAGGGACGAAGCAACTTGTTTAAGGCAGCAACAGCAGGCAAATACAAAGCACAGGATGCTTTGTGTGGTTGCTCAGCCCCCCATTACTGTGTGGCCAGTGAAAAGACAGATGCCCAACGCTCCCATCAGAATGATTATCAGCATTGATGAGCACCTCATAGAAATAAGTCGTATCATTTTTGTTTTTACCTTCGCACTTTCTGGATATTCTTCAGGGGCTCGGTGTAGCAAAATATGTCCCTTGCCAGGAATATTTAAATATACACAGTTTGCTGCAGTGTCGTCAGGAACTGTAAGCTTGTCATAGCGGTGGTCACTCATCTGCTGCATCGTCTGTTACAAAAAATTAAGGCAGATCTATTACAGCACAGTTTTGAAAGGGGTAGGGGCTACTTTGTAGAAATAAATACACAGGAAGTACTGTTCTTCGAGAAAAGGCTGTAATTCAAACCAGGAAGCTGCTCATCCTGCACCATGTTTTTAATATGCAAAATACACCAGTACCAAACAAAATATAATCTGTGCTATTGAAGACTGCACATTTCAGGCTTTCACAAGATGGTAGAAGGGAAAAAGCAGGTGTTAGCACGTAAATCAAATCTCAAGATGCTCAGCATTTCTGAGTATCAAGCATGTTAAATGTCTGGAAGTTGTGGAGCAGAAATTCACTGCCGAATTTTAAACAGTACAGTTGGTTGCTTTAATTTTGCACTTTTTTGAGACCTTTGTCTGTGAAATTAATGCACATATAATTCATTATATGATAACAAACCATAACAAGTGACAGATTTTTACGTTAAATAGGGCAATATTCAACCAGTTCTAAACATCCAAACTATCCAATTTCAAATAATGACAAAACACACAATGATGATGGTGAAATACCCACAGTCGTCATTGGTTTCCATCTCCACCCATGTGAAACAAAAATGTTCCAGTTGTCTGTACTTATTAGGGACAATCTATTTTCTGGCACCTGTTTTTGGTAAAGTGCTCTAGTAGACCCAAGCATTTCCAAACTGAGTATAGCAAGTACAGAAGGAGAGGGAGAATATTCTATCACCGCTCCCGCTGCTCTCCACGTAGGGTTGCCAGACGTCCAGCAAAAGGAGGACATGTCCTCCTTTTTAGCCTAATGTCCTTCGTCCGGCAGGCAAAGCTAAAAAAAGCTTTAAAATGTCCGGCTTTTGTAATATTATATGTTATAATTTTGGATGGGAGGGGGAGAGGTGGAAGGTGGAAAGCAGTCTCTGATGGAGTCACAATCTAAGCCATATATATAGATGGTTGTTGTGGGTTTTTCGAGTTCTTTGGCCGTATTCTGAAGGTTGTTCTTCCTAATGTTTCGCCAGTCTCTGTGGCCGGCACTCTGTGCTG